TTGTACGCCGGATTAAGGACCGCAATAAGCGATACGGTTTAGTCAAGTTTAATAAGTAAAATCAGTGCAAACGGATTTGCCATAATCAGATCAGAATAGTCCAAAGAGGAGGCGTTAAGAAACTCTAAAAAATCATGCATTTAAGGCATAATTTATGTCACTATTTACTTCTACATTTCACGAATTTAATAATTTCACTTCAGAAATTTAGTAGGTACTTATATAGTAGCAATACAGTTACAAATTATCAATATCATGTCTATCATATACTGTCTGCAACGCAAAACGGCTGCCAAAAGGTCATAAAAAAACTGACTCCAATATATCGACAAATATAATAATAATTCCCAGATGCAAACCTGAACAACTTAACTAGAAAACTCAAACAATACCTACCTATAATATTTTAGAATTTCATTTACAACGGGATCACATTATCATCCCGACTTGGTGACAGTGGAAAAATTCAAGGAGGAAAACCTTTAAAAATAAGTCAACATTGGTTGATAATGGACGATGTTATGAGTATGAATATGCATAAGAAATTATATTCTTGTATAGCTATGGAACATAGAGCTTCCTCCTTTTTTGTTGTCGGATACTTTTTCATACAGTTTTTACTAGGTTACAGTGATGTTAAATTTCATTATAAAGGTATAATACTATTTATATTTTATATTTCCCTCTAGGCAATACAAGTAGGACTGAAACCCAGAGTTGTACTACGTCAAAAAAAGCTTTGATGCCTGCCACCGAAGTCTGCCGGCTGGCATTGGTCCCCCCGGCAAAATTATCCGCATGTACAACAAAAAACGAGGAAAATGAACACGAACTAATACAAACTATGAACTTTTGGGTAGAATTAACATGGTTTGGAATAATATTTCTTTTCTTTTCATTTAATTATCCAACTTGCTATCTTCTGATAGAAAGTCGATAGGAGGACTATAAGAAGTTACGATGTGGAATGCAACATGATGAGTAGGCACAAGCTTCAATGTCAGACCGTTTTAATTTTTAAAAATGGAATTATGAAATGTTTTTTATTTAAAAATCTGGCACCAGGCAATAATACTTTTATTAATTATAATAAAATTTAGTATTAATTGGTATCTTTTGTTAAAACATGGCAGCAGACAAATTCATGTTTATAATCTCGGGTATATACCTGAATACAATTTGTATAACTTTATTTTACCATATGGTAAATTTCGGTTAGACATAATTATAATATATTTCTTAGACAGTAACTCCCCTCAGAGTTTAATGAACCGACAAAAAATTACTACAATAGAAACCATGTAAAATTATGGCCTAAATGATTCAAAGTTGAGTTTACTTTAGTTAGCTGAGTTTTTGGCCTACCTATAATATATAAAATAGGTTTTCATTTTAATTAATTAGAAAAGACTTTATTGTTTATTGTACGGTGTTACGTAAATTGCTGCAAATGATACAGACAGCTTTATAAATAAAGTTTCAAATTAAAAAAAAACTTTGTTGTGTAGAACAACAAAATTACAATAAAGGGTTTTATAAACAAGTTTTAGCGTCATTTTGATACGACAACAGTGTAGAAACAGATTCTTGAATAATCTAATCGAAATATAATCTATAATATACGGTCGACATTCGGTCATAGAAATGCAAATATATGGAACGTTTATGAATTCTAGTTATATGTGAAATATGCAATGTAAAAACAAATACCTGGACGGTATACACGTTCCATAAATTTTACCTTTATATTTACCTACTAACATTATAAAAGAGAGTGAGAGAACAGATTTTATTATGAGTAAAGTAAACTAACTTCGGATCCACCGCTCTTATTTGAGAAAGACGGTTCTCTAAAATATATTATTGCAGATGGACATGTACTATATATATACGTATTATATTATGAACACCTGCGAAGACCGGCTCTTCGCAGGCTAGAAACTAGCATTATGTACAGTAGAGTTGAAAAAATGTCTAGATTAACTACAGTGTTTTAGTACAAATTGTTTTATCAGTTTCAGATTTTTGGAATCATATGTTTGGTTTTGCTTGGGTATTTTTTTAATTGTGTGTACTACTTATTTGTACTTTTTACGAAATAAAATTACTCTACAGTAAAGTTATTACGCTAACCTTTAATTAACCTTGATTCATAGACCTCAGACATTAACAAGATTACTCTTTGTAGAGTTAAATAGAATATTAATTTATTCAAATAACCAAACATTTGATGTTAATATTGATAGTGAGTAATGCTATAGATATATATATTAAAGAAACCTATGTTTGTCAAACTAGCAACTACCTAAAGATTTCCTAATAAGCAAGACTTTTGTGAATTGGCACTAAAACTATAACTGTTTGTGCTTGTATCTAATGTTGTATTTTGGGAGTTTAAGATAATAAAAGGAAAAAGAAATATTCAGGGAACAGAGATTTGTTGGAGTATGTCAAGAAGTAAAAGACAAAATTGTCACGGAACAGGGCTCTATAAAAGGTTAAATATAAATTTAGAATATTTTTGATTAGCCAGTTACTACAGTTACGTATCTATTAAAAAGTTACTATACAAATATCTAAACAACGGTCTATTTACTTCCGGCATTAATTTTGTTTCATTTCTAATTAATTACATTTCAAATTTCTCTGAAATGTCAGGAAAGTTAAGTTATTAAATACATTCATTGTTGGATAATTTATTAATAATTAATATTTACCTTAGTTTTAATAAGATAGAATTGTGGGCGATAAATGAGTAGACTAGATACGAGATGATTTAAATAAGGAATAAAAAATGTTAAAAACATATAATATGGAGTTACAGTTTACCCGTGATCATGGCGGTTTAGACACTCCCGAAATATCAGGAACTCAATAAATATAAAACGTGGTAAAATCCCGTAATTTTTATTAATTATACATACATATACCTAACATGGATATGAACAGTAACAGTAAAAAGGTGGCAATAATAAATAATTACAATATAGTAGGTATGTGTATGGCATTATTTAATATGTGATAGCACACGTAACCCTATCCCATATATATATATCGTGATAAAAAAGGACAATTTTAAACAAGAACTGTGTGTTTAATTTCATTTAAATCTGACCCTAATTTTGCTACACCTTCTATTACTTATGGCAAAATAGATTTATCTACAGAACAGAAACAATGACTAGATACAACATGTTTTATTGAGAAGCACATACTAGATGATATAAAAAGTTCATAAAACAGAACAAGGTAGCGAACGAGCAGTCTATGTGTTGTTCGACTCATGCGTAGAACATAAATATTTTATTACCAAAACATACACATTTTCCAGGATTTTATATTCGAATGTGTACATTGATGCGATCAATTGTATGTTCTGTATTGATTATATATGTATATATATATATATATATATATATGTCTTGTATTTGTAGTCCGTAAATATTTTTAGAAGCATTACAATATTTTTTGTAGACTTATAGTGAATGAAAAATATTTTATACATCATGCTACTCATGCATAATAGTTTTTGTTTGAGTTAGTACAGAAGACATGAGTATAGGTTTGTTTTGCCTTCTTTGTGTCTGTCAGAAGGCAACAATAGTTAGATATAGTATATAGAGTAACAAATGTTTTATTAATAAAATAACTCATTTCATTCACAATTAAATTAAAATTACTCAGTAAAATTATTGTAATCCTATATAAATATTGGATCTATTTATGAATTGAAAATCAGCGAATGAACCGAGCAGTAATCGTTATTATACTTACCTACATGTCATTAAATAGATAGAGATGTCTTTGTGGCAGGGAAGCGTCATTTTTCATTAAAATTAATGGCTTTTTATCTCGGCTCTCTTGAAAAGTTTATATATAGGTACAAACCGAGACGCGTTCGCGTTCGCGTTCGATAAAGTAATTACTTAATGTAAAGTCACTTAAGCTCCCCATCCTAATATAAACTCTTGGATTTTTTACTTAAATAAAGACATTTCTTGGATTGTGTTCTTGTTATACTTACCTTTGGGTATTGTAGTAGAGATTGAACGATTTCCCTTATATCAAAAGTAGGACGATCATATTGATGTTCCTTTTTTTAAATAAATTCTTTAATTATGTAGGTAGTTCCTACATATCCTTTAAGTAACTTCTGTTTTATTTCAGTAAAAACTTAACCTTGTTATTATACGTGTACGCAAAATTTTACTAAGGAATAACAAAATCCCTTGTTTTGAAATGTATTACAGTGTGTTTTTGTTGTCCGTCTTGGACGCCGTTACGCGGTTGAAGTCCAAAAGAAGTACGAGCATCGGAGCATAAACAAGATACATGATTGATTCTTAACCTTTTTTTTTAATTTCCTATTTAGTATCATCTGTACATTCATATTATCAGCTATACTCAGTACATAATTCTCTTAGTTGTATAAATAAGTTCAAACAAATTTCGGTAGGAAAAGTCAATAAGTGAGTAAGTGCTGTCTGTTGCAATCTTTTGTTGGACAATCTAGCGGTATTAGTTGGATAAAATTGCTGAAAGCTATCAACATTCATATCGCTGTTCTCCAGTCCGTTGATGACTACCACAAGTGCAATTAGTCGAAATATTGAGATATTTTAATTCATCATAAAATTATTCGCATAAAGACCTGATTACATGATTAATGTTGATGCTTGTACTTAATTTTTATCTTCTGTCTGACATAAGCAGTGAACTCTAATTACTCGACTCGACAATAAATGTACATTGACGTACTGAAATACATTGTATATATTACAAATTTAAATATGAAACTGGAAGAAAATCTTACATAGTAGACAGTTGTAAAAGTTTTATGGTCTGGGTGTTTTCTATGTGCCGATATATCTGAGCACGTTTATCAATTGTTTAGTAGTGCAAGTTACGAACTAGATGGTGCTGTGTGATATATTAATTAATAACAATAAACGCTTAATGGTATAGTCTTCGAAATAAATATAAACAATTAAATTACTCACCGCACGATCAGCCAAATTCTTCACTCTGCAGTGCAAATAAGCTGGTTGCCCCACGGCTGCAGTGTAGTCACGTTTAGTGGCATTATCGAAGTATGGCTGCCCCATGTTCTCTGTGGAGACCGTCGCATTAATGTCCGTCATGAAGGTGAGTTCACTGGGCATGACAGTACCACCACTGGGCAGAATAACGCCACCGATAGTGTCCCCACTGGTACCACCTCCACCAGCCGACATTCCTGAAAGTAATGCCACAAATAAGTATTCATATCATGTAGTATCAACAGTAATCAATTCTTATTTGTACGACTGTAATTTTGTGATATAACTAATGTTCGAAACTAAACTAAGGGTTAGATTAATAAAACGATATTTTTGTAAATTCGTCAATACTTAATTCTTATTAAAGATACTGGTATTACTGAAATGTATATGCTTATCAACAGGGCGGCTGGAGGGTGTAAGGTTTCATTGCAGGTTTCCTTCTCTACCAACATTATTGAGGTAACAAAGCACAATGCACAGGTGTATTGTATTTTGTTGCCGTAATGTATATTACAATATCCCAAGAAAAATAATTGGTGACAGTAATACAGTATAGTATACCTACATACATTATTGTAGTTCTCTGTTATCGCAAAAAGATATAGATATGTGTAAATGGTAATATCAAAATTTATAATACAAATATTAGAAAAAACTTACTACATATCAGCTTGATATAGCTGGTATGTGATAAGTTTCTTCTAATTTTTGTATACTTGGTGTATACAAAAATTAAAAATAGGTTAATAATTAAGTACATTAATCAGACAAAGTAAATCTTTCGTTACGTAATCTTTTATCGGTTATTGTACAAGGTTCATTTCTAACTACAACGGAAAAATAGCTTCTAAATACATTGTTCTTGGTTTCTTATTTGAAATATTCATATCTGACCTACTATTTCCATAGAGAGGGAAATACAAATATTTGTAAGACAAATCTTATTGTATTTGCATTCATATATGACTGAATAGACAAATATGGGGTTACGGATCTCTGTTTGTTACGAAGTTACATCCAAAAGCATTTGCTTTTAGATAGAGTTGGTTAAATTGTTGATAAATATTATACACATATTATTTATTGAGCACAATTTAAGTTAATATGAAGAAAGAGTGCAAAAAGATATTTTTTTTATAATAATACTTAAAACATTTAGATACATATACTCACAATTTATATTTTCTATTTGTAATTAGGAGTCTATAACTATATAATTTAAAATTACAATTATTTATGATATTTTTTTCTGACATATACATAAGTAAGTTTTCTTTATATAATAGGCTAACTCGGGCTATTAAGATTTTTAAGTAAACTAGTATTTAAAAGTCAATGCATTATTTTCTCAATTTATCAGTTCACATCGCAAGCTTATATTATGGTAACAAAAAATCACAATCTGCATTTAATATACCACAACAATAATAAATATAGACCCTGTACAAATAAATAAATTAAGATATGTAATAATAATAGAAGTTTATTTTTAATAGGAAAATGTAAAATATTATATTAATACATATTATCTTTCCTGGAGACACGTATTACTCCAAATTTTTATTTAACAATGAACTTGTTTAGTTCTCTTTTCATTCTATCGGATGTAATGACAGTTCTTGCTGTCAGCGGTGTCATGTAGACGCTTCTCAAACTGAGAAGGCAATTTGTCACTCGTTCGAGCCGTGTTTTTTCTATGGCTGACATTGACCTCTCCCAATAGGTTTGCCGTTTGCCGGTAGGGTCCTCTTGAAATGTTCACCCCTACTCGTGGCCATCGTCCATCATCTTGACAGGTGCCAATAACATTAACTTTTTCTTTTATCACGGTGAAAATTATAAGACGATGACGTAGTGCCAATTTATATCTCATTTCGCAAAATATTATCTTTATTCTTGTCTGCTTTTTTAATATTCTTTTTTCATAAAATCAGTATATAGTTTCCAAATTATAATATTCTCTATAACACCAGAAGTTCTAACTTTTCTTAAAACATACAAAGATATTCATGCAGATTTCAAATTGGTATTTTAAAACTATTACCTACGTAAATTGCAATAATTTGTCACGTCAGTTCTTTACAAATCTACTTTCAATTTTACAGTCAGATTTCAAAATTCTATGTTAAAAGTATATTGAGGTAATAAAACAGTCATCCTAAATTTAATTCATGTACACTATTCTTTCAGATTTGAGAAAAATATTATTATTATTTATTTTAAGTAAGTACTTCTTTAGTAACTACCTCCTTGTGGCTGGTCATCCCAACCTTTTCTATATATTTTAATAAAGAATAAGAAATTACTACGTCATTATTATTTCCATACTATACTTAAGATTTAATGTGATCACTAGTGACCAGACAGCCATCTGGTCGTCTACAATATCATATGATATTAAAAGTTAGTCGGTAATTTAACTATGGAACGTTTATGGAGTATTAGGTAAAATATAAGGTTAACTACACTAATGTTGGTATATATAATTTATATTATTATATAATTTATTTATATTAAAGCGAATTTGTTAACAAAGCTATTATTGTTATTATTATAAATTTTATAATTTTCCTTATATCTACATACATAGTTATATATAACTTCTATAGTGTTGTAGCCAGTTGATAGCTACTATAACAACAAAATGTTATTCGATCAAATCCGATTCAATATGATAATCTAATATCCCCTATTACACATCTTAATATATTGAACGAAGTTCATAAAACTAATGTAAGAAGATAGGTCCTTTGTCCTTGGTCCTAGATGATAATACGTACCCGTATTATCATCGATATTTTTAGAAAAACACATTTCCACTACATCACTAATTATTTTCTATGCTACCCGACCCATAAACTGACACATGCATCCTACGCATTTTTGTTATATAAATTTTATTTATAATTGCAAGTACCCTTTAACGGCAGAGTATAGGTTTAACGATCGCTGAATATATTGTAAATAACTCCTTTGATATGCGACCCCGACTGCGACTTTTGGATTTTAAAGGTCTGACATTATCTTATAAACCAAGAATTTACACAATCTAATTTAATACAGTACATTTCACAAAAAGTATGTTTTAAATAAAAAAAACATAATATATATTTAAAAAATAAAAAGAAGTAACATTTACCATGATGTGAAAAAACCGTTTTGTGTTTATCAACCGATATACTGAATTTACACTGATATCTGAGACACGAATATACAAACATACATATCAGCAATAATAAATATATAATCAAATACAATCTATATTTTTATCCAGTACTTAGTTTACTTAGAGAAAATCCTCATGGAGACCCACCCTTCGGGGAGGCAAATGGGTTTCGTTAGACTCCTACTCACTACCTAATAACATACCTAGAGAAACTGATTAGGTCAAATCAAGTGATGTAGGTGTAATAAAGTTCCAATAATTATTGTCTACAATAAGTCCATAATACTAACATAGAACTTATAATAGTATACTATATAATTGAGTTTTCGCAAACTTTCGTCTCCTATCATCCTTCCATATTCTATTTCAGATAAACTATAGCCTATGTTCATGCTCGCGATACAATTCATCTTTACGTCTTTCATTAAGATCTGTCGAAGCACTTAGGCGTGAAAAAGTAACAGATAGACAGACTCGCTTTTGTATTTATAATGTGTAACATGCATATATTAGGTATTGTTGTACTATTCAGTATTCTTATTGTTACATGAAATTCCTCATTCATGCTTCAGTTAGTACTTATTGTAATCATTGCAATTTTAATAAGATTACTGGTATGCGACGAGCTCTTAAGAAATACCGCCGACATCTGTAACATGCATTCCCACCGGTATAATCCCGACATACACATTATTACTGCTGTGGATTGAGTTTAATTTATTTTGATGCGGGCAACTGGCAACAAAAATTTAATTTATTATGTTTGAACTCAGACTGGCAATAATATATAACTGTATAACTTTTTTTATTTGTAAACTATCTGAAATGATACATTCACCCAGTACAGCCTTCTACAATACACTAGTGAAATTATAACGCAAATCAGTTCAACCGTTTCTGAGATTGGCGTGCACAAATGATCAAACAAATAGACAAATTTTAACAATAATTATTTTCGGTTCTATTCCGTTATTAATGTTTCTGTATAATAGTTTTTCTTATATATGTTTCATGTACAGATAGTAGTACAAAACGTCTCCGTGGGTATGCCGCAGCAGCCAAGAAACTTTCATTATTTGCTGTGTAGGGTGCGAAGAAGGGTGTTCGGTTATAGGGTGCGATTAGATAGTAAAATTATCGGATAGGAGGCACAACATCATAGTTATATAAAATTGACAATGTAATAGTGGTATGACATGATAACGGAATGTCTGTAGTGCCATTTAAGTGTTCGTATGTAAAACTCAGCATGATTGCTATTCCAAATATATATCGGAATTATAAATTCAATATATCCTATCACAAGTGTTTAATTATGCTTACAAGGAGATTCTTAAGGAAATATATAAATAGGAATATGTGATTGTTGATATGCAAAAAAAAAAAAAAAAATGTAAAACATACAATGAAATAAATTATTATTATAAATTATTATTATAATATACCTCGGCTACTTAATCGAACATCGTAAGTAATAATAGTGTATAATAGTATATAGATACGATAACGATTAGTGGGATATATACAATTTATTGATTCTAAAAGGAAAACACAAAGTCCTGTATAAATATAAACAAATTATCCCAAACTAATTTACAAAGGTAATTTCAAATTGAGTGAGGGTGAAACCCAAGAGAGATAAAAGGGAGCTGTCGTAACCGTTCAATATACATTGATTAAAGCGAAATGCAGTTCTGAATAGTTAAACACGATAGCAAATAATTGTTGGCAACTTGTGATAATAACCAATATAACTGGGTCGTCTATTGCTAAACTAATTTTGTACCTGTTATCTCTCTTATAACTTATGTTGTTTAAAGTGTTTCTAATAATAATGTGTTAGCGATTTATAACTTCAGCTGCAAACTAACTTTGGAAATTACTTTATACGATTTATGATTAAACAATCATTTTATTTTATCAATGTTCGTTCTCTAAGCACTCTTAAAACTATAGATCAGATTGTAATAAAAATTTGGTGATATTTTGAAAGGAGAATGAATGATATAACGAGTACAATTTCTAAAT